TATATATATATATATATATATATATATAGAGAGAGAGAGAGAGAGAGAGAGTTTGTTTCAAATACAACCCGTCGCATTTGTACAACCAATGCAACCCAATAAATTGATATATTTTTGGAAATGATGAGAGTTCATTTATTATGATTTGAATATTTATGGTAGATGAATATGGTTCATTAATTATGATCAATACTTTATATTAGGAAACAATCAAAATTTCTATAAAATCAAATATTAATCAAATGAAATGGACAGTTGAGATTGAGTTGTATTGGTTGCACAAATGTCAAGGGTTGTATAATAACCAACCTATATATATATATATATATATATGTGTGTGTGTGTGTATATAAAACTAATTTTGCGATTATAATGATAGATAAATTTGAATATGAACAATCAATCTATTTTTTAAATCCAAGATTGATGAAGGTTCTTATATGGTCCATAATTTTGTTCTCTCTTGAACATCTCTTGAATATAAAGGTGGATTCAACGAAGAATCGTAAAATATGAAAAATAGTGGAACCCTACATCAACCATCGATCAGTTTTGATCCGACATTTGTGAATAATAGGGATCGTTACATTTTTCTATAACTAACTCCATAATTATAAAAGCAGTTACATTTGAACATGAGTTATCTAATTTTTAGATCCTACAGTTGATTAAAGGTTCCTTCATCCTCCAATTTTTAGGGTTCTCTAGAACCTCAGTTGTATATAGAGGTGGGTTCAAAAAAGAACCCTAAAAAACGGAGAACAATGAACCATCCTTCCATCTACCATCGATCAGTGTAATCCAAAAGTTGTAAATAATAGAGACAGTTACTTTTTTTCATCAGTAACTATATAATCATAAGGCCAGTTACATTTAAATCTGAATCATCTATTTATTAGAATAACTTAATAGATAATTCACATTTTCCTTTTTGGATTCTTCTTAAACCTCCCCCCACCCCTTATATATATATATATATATATATATATATATATATATATATATCCACCAAACTCCAAACCCTCATCCACAATCAATCACCATGGTCAAAATTCACCTTACAACCCAATTTATCATCACCATTCTTCTCCTTCATATCCTTACAAGCATTCAATCCAAATCATTTTCAAGAAACTTATCAAGAAAATCACTTGATTTCAAGAAAGAAAAGCTAACCCACCTCCATTTCTACTTTCACGACATAGTCATCGCTCGTCATCCTACCGCCATCAAAGTGGCCTCTTCTCCTACCACAAACACCTCCTCTAGCTTCTTCGGCCTTGTGATGATGATGGATGACCCGTTAACACTAACACCGGAACCAGGGTCCAAGGTATTGGGAAGAGCTCAAGGGATATATGCATCAGCAGACTTGAAGGAGCTTGGGTTTTTGATGGTCTTGAACTATTGTTTTACAGAAGGCAAGTACAATGGGAGCACTTTGAGCATATTGGGACGAAATGCGGCATTTACGTCGATGAGAGAGATGCCGGTTGTTGGTGGAAGCGGGCTTTTCCGTTTTGCTAGAGGCTATGCTCAAGCCAAGACTCATAGTCTTGATTATAAAACAGGAAATGCTGTTGTGGAGTATGATGTGTTTGTTCTTCATTATTGATGTCGGTGATTCATCTTTTCTCAAATATTTAACTTCAGTTTCATCTGTGTATGTTAAAAATAAATACTTATAATTCCATCTTATTAATACGTCAATAACATTTACGTTATTCTTGTCTGATCATCATGAACAACGCTAAAATTATCTTAAGATGATAGTTTATGTTATTAATCCCGATAAAAATTAAAATGATATAATAATAAAAATTAATAATTTTGTTATTGATTAAAGTTGTTGTGATGAAAGTATTCCAATTTAATTGGATTCTATTCTTGGGAGTTGGGACATAAAGATAAAAAAGGAAAGAATCCAAGAATAGTAAAAGAGCATTTATTCATTCAAGAATAAACTTCAATTGTGTTCCTTAAAGTTTAAAAGTGGGATGTGTATTTAGGAGATGTTTAGGATTACTTATAAAAGCAATTTATTGACTTATTTTGATATTATATTGGTAAGAAGTATTTTTGAGTGTTTGGATAAACAGTTTATACTGATGTCAAACTGATAATAAGAAGTTTTCGAATAAGTTAAAATATTCTAACTTATAATAAGTTGATAACGACTTTTACAGAAAAATATAAATTGTTTCAAATAATCAATTTCAGACACCCCTTTAATAAAGCTAGAAATCAATCAAATCATGTGGTTTATTGTGTTTTAAAAACGGTTCCTAATTGTTAACTCTCTTTGTTTATTTTGTTAAAGCAAGAAGTGTTTATAAAGTGTTTGGTTAGAGGAAACAATAATGAGAATGAAAATAAAAGAAATTGTTTGGTATTATTTATATTATATTATAAAACATTTAACAAAAACTCTTAAAAACATTTTTTATGCATAAAGTACTGTTTATTAATGCATATTACTTAAAATTCAAGATTATAAGTAAATTGTGTATAAGTACAACTTATTAAAGCTCTATGTTTAAATTCGTGTAACTAACTGCGGATAAACATAATCAAATAGAATATAAACATCTCATTTTAAAATATAAAAAATCTAAAATATAATTAGGATAATTATTGAGTTCTAACAGAATATTTAATTATTATCTTAAAAAAAAATTATTAATCCTAAATTAAGTTAATTCGTTAAATTAAATTATAATAAAAATTTTGAATTAAAAAAAATAAACAAACAAGAACTTTTAATTAAATAATTTGATACTAATATTGATATATTTTTTTGCAAATTTTATATGATATTTTCAAATTTATATTTTATTCAAAAATAAAAACATTATCGTTTTCTCAAAACCATATAAAATTGTATTATATCGACATGAATAAAAAATAAAACGAAACATTAAAATGGAAATGTGTATCGATGCATTCCACAAGTACCCTTCTAGTATAATATAATTAGTTCATCCCCCAAGAAGCCTAAATTTTTATCCCAGATTAAATTGGAGGGAATGAAAAATTATTCTCATTTTCATTCTCTGTCATTTTCATTAACATCTTCATATCTCAATATGAACCAAACAACCCCTTACTCATTTTTATCAAAATCTTTAATCTTTTCTTTAAATTATAACATAAAAATTTCTTTTCATATTTTTTCTATTAAATAACTAATTTTAGATTGAGAGAGAAATAAAATACAAAATACAAAACAAAATATTATATTATTTAAACAAAAAAAACTAAAATACTCTTTTTTTAACAGAAAAAATAAATAGAGAAAAAATTTCAAATGGTGACACCATTTGACTATAAGAAACAAATGTACAAGTTCTTTTTTCAAACAGTGGCACCATTTGACTAAGAAAATGACACTAACATGATTCGAACTTGGCTTTAGGGTGGAATAAAAGCCTTGTAAATCAACTTTACTAAATAAAACGTGTTCTCATTGTAGTTTCAAAATACATACGGAGTCACACAACAAATTAATACGGTTGCACCTTTCACGAACCTAAAAAAAATTATCATTCGAAGAAGGAATAATACGGTGACACGTACCACCGTATGCTGTAGGTCTGTCACTGCCAAAAAAAAATATTATTATGTTTTTATTTATTTATCTATGATACTTGATATTTAATGTGTGGTGTGGCATGGTGATGCAGATGGCTACAATGGTCCCTCATAATTACTTTTTTATTTTTTTTAAAGAAAATGAAATGCCTTATCTAACGGCCATAATTTAATACTCTGTTACCAAAATCTGAAATATATTAGGAAAAAAAATTGAAGTTTATTCAAAATAAAATAAAAATATCGATAGTGAAAATACTGTTAGAAGAAAATATTAAAAGGACCGACACAAACAAGACTATTTAGGTGTCATTTACCAAATACTTATCCGGTAAGTACTTATCAGTAAAATTTAACATTATCTTCGACTTACCGAATAAGATTTTAGTCCAACAAAATGGTATCGTATGCAACAATTTATCCGGTAAACTCTTACCATTGTAAGAGTTGTCGCTCTCACTTACCGGGTAAGACTATTGGTCTTTGTCTCGTTCTTACAGGGTAAGATTCTTGGTCGTTACCATATTTATTCGCTAAGGTAATGTGACTAGGTAAGCGCTTACCCTGGTAAGAGTTTGGTAAACGGTTCCTTATTTATTGATGGTGTCACTTTTTAGTATTTTTTATACCGTCGTGTTGATATCTTTAGTTAACGATTTATATATAGCATTTTGTTCATAGACGAAGGATCGTGTGAGAATGATGTTTAAGGTGAGAAGCGTGAGAAAAGATCCGGACCCTTGATCATCTTTAATTTCAAACTCATTCATGAATCGTGCTTGATACATGGATTGAGTGTATTCAAAGATGGAGATCTCTTCTTACGTTTCTCACATTAACTCTCTTTCTTACCGGAACTCAACCTTTTGTTCTTATATATAAGTATAAATAACAATTAAAATTAAAATATTAGTATTTCTGATAAAAAAAAGTTATAAAATGTTTCATTAAATTATAGAGCAAATTTTCTTATAGAAAGTGGTATCGTAGCCTTTGGCCTAACGGTATTATAGCTTTTAACCTTTAGGAGGTCAAGATTTCAAATCTCACTAATATTGAGAAGAGTGTGTGAGTTTATTTGTTGTATTTACCATACATAAATATTATATACCTAAAAAAAATTAGACGTTACCCATGCTTGAAAAGTGCTCATACCCGACTACCCGACCCGTTAAAATACCAAAACCATCAACTAGTTTGACCCTTTTACGATTAGTTGGGATCCACCAGACCCACCGCATGCGAGTATAAAGCTGACAAAATGGAAACGCAAAAATAGTCCTTGTGGTTTGTGGAAATTCTGATTTTCACCCTTATGTTTTGGAAATTACAATAAATATTATTGGGGTTTGTATTTTATTATATATTGAGTGAATGAATGCTGAAGATCCTTTTGGGGCCTTCATAGATCTATCCCTATATTTTGTCCTTTAGTTGCCACCTTATCTACCTTCCTAGTAGGGGTGGCAATGGGTCAGATCGGGTTGGGTTCGAGTTCAACCTATTTATTAAACAGGTTGAAAATCTCAATCCAACCCAACATGTTACCTAAATGAGTTGACAATGGGTTGACATGTTTACGTTTTTCTTAACCCAACATGTTAAATACATGGGTTGAACATAGATTGACCCATTTAATTTTAAAATTATAAATAAAAAAAGAACTAGACTATTTATTTATTTTTTGAATAAGACACAACCACAAATACAAATAAATTGTTCAAAGTTTGAATAAAAACACAACCATTGGACTTTGGAGGCGATAATGGAGTAATGGACTAAAATGTTTTTTTCTTAGAGTTTCATGATGATTAAGAGTAATGGAGGCGATTGGAATTTGGAGTTTCATCTCACGACGGTACGATTTTTAATTAAGAATAAAACAAAATTAAAAATTAGAATACTAGATATAATATTAAAAATATATAATATTTTAAATGGGTTAAAAAGGGTTGAAAACATGTCGAAAAATTCAACTCAGTCCATTTATTTAAATGGGTTAGACATGTTAACTAATTTATTTAAATGAGCTGAAAATTTCAACCCAACATACTAATTTTAGGTTAGGTTCGGATTGAATTTTCCATAAACCATACAGAAGATTTTCATAATTTAATTAAAAAATTATTTGAATAATTAAGAAACTAAATGCATAGATGATGTAAAAACCTAGAGGCGTATCACATAGTCTTAACCGAAGAATTAAAAAACAAAACCTAATATTAGAAATGGGCCAATGAATAATTATTGATTAATTAAGCTATAAAAAATAATAATCTATATTATATTATAAAGTATTGGACAAAAATTCTTAAAAACATTTTTTATGCATGAAGTACTGTTTATTGATGTATATTACTTAAAATTCAAAATTACAAGTAAGGGGGTGTTTGAGATTGCTTATTTAAAACAACTTATGCTTTTTTGTAAAAGTGCTTATTAACTTATGTGGTATTAAATCGGAGTTTTGTAAAAAGTGTTTGGATTTGCTTATAGCGGTACCAAACTGCAATAAGCTGATAAGTTGTTTTTAGTGTTTGGCAAATTTTGCTTATATCTGTAAAATGACCAAAAAGGACAGGGAGAAGATTGATGTTGTTATCTGGAGAAGGCAGAAGATTGAGATCGATGTTATTTGGAGGAAAAGAGATAGGTATAAAGGGTAATAGGGTTAAAATGATAAACTGGTAATAAGCAGCTTTTCATAAGTCAGGACAGATTAACTTATCAAAAACTGCGTATTACCGGTTTGGCACCAGTATAAGCAGTTTTATTTTTTATTATCCAAACACTAGGTATTAGCTTATCACCGGTGCCAGACTGAAATAAGTCAATAAGCCGATACAATAAGCAATCCCAAACACCCCCTAAATTGTACGTAAGTACAACTTATTAAAGCTCTATGTTTAAATTTGTATAACTAACTGCAGATAAACATAATCAAATAAAGAATAAACATCTCATTAATATATATAAAAAATTAAAATATAATTAGAATAATCATTGAGTTCTAACAAAATATTTAATTATTATTTTTATAAAAAATTAAATTATTAAACCAAAAAAATGAATTAAAAAAATACACAAAAATAAGAAATTTTAAACAGTCATTTTGATACCAATATAAAAAAATTAATTTTTTATGATATATTTTCATATATATATATATATATATATATATTATTCAAAAATAAAATCATTATCGTTTTTCCAAAATCACATAAAACTGTATTAAAAATCAACTGAGACAAAAAACACATAAAAATCAAAATGTATCTTATTGTATTATATGAATATCCTTCTAATTGTATTATATACGCTTATATAGATTCAATATGGACTCCCACTCATATCACCAATTTTTATCGGCTTAAGCTCAAATATGCTTAATAAAATCATCGGCCCACTTGATAGAAGCCCAACAATCAAATTCAAGCTCAACATATATTCTAAGGGGGTGTTTAGGATTGTTTATTTAAAAAAACTTATGTTTTTCTGTAAAAGTGTTTATTAACTTATGTGGTATCAAATCGGAGTTAAATAAAAGAAAGTTAAAATTGTAAACTGGTAATAAGTAGTTTTTCATAAGTCAGAAATGATTAACTTATCAAAAATAGCTTATTACCGGTTTGGTACCGGTATAAGCAGTTTTTTTTTCCTTATCCAAACACCAGAAAACAGCTTATCACCGGTGCCAGATTGAAATAAGTTAAAAAAACAGCTTTTATAAGCAATCTCAAACACCCCCTAAGCCATTACATATATAGGGTTGAGCTCTATATCTCTTCTTACGCTTCTCATTTTAACTTTTTTTTCCCGCATGATTATTCGCCTACATAAGGTTGGGTTGCAGTGAGAAGGAGAGTTAAGATGAGAAGTATAAGAAGAGATCTCCACCCTCAGATGCACATTAGGATGAGATGCATTTGATCAATCACCGTATCAAGCACGATTAATGGGTTGGTTTTAGATTAAAGGGGATCAAGGGTTCAAATATCTTCTTAACTTTCACTCTCACATGATCCTTCACCTATATATATATATATATATATATATATATAGGGAGGTTCAAACGCGATCAATAATTATATAAAAGAACACAAAAAATATATATCAATTTTTTTCAGGTTAGAATGAATTATCCTACATGACAAAGAAATATGAGTTTCGTCCTTCTTCTTGATGTCCCTCCGCTTTTGATTTGGAGTTTTGCAATGCAATGTTTTTTTTTCTTCAGTATCTAATATTCATACAGGACAAATACTCACATGTGCATCTTTCACTGATTTTGATGATCTCTAAACTATTTTATTTCATGTAAGGTCTATTAATAACTCGAGTACCACGGAGCCAATTTGGTTTTGCAATGTAATATTGATGGGGTTGAGCTCAACTAGGTTTGGTCTAGTCCCATCTAATATTCACTTGCGCCTCAACAAATGAATTAAACGTTTAATATGTCACATTTTTGCATGTTATACTCATAAAAATATATTATATATCATAATAAGGGACTGAGTGACTTACTAAATGAACTGGAATTCGCTTTCAAACTCACCACAACTGGACGACTTGCTTCAGCGAGTTACTGGTTTGAGATCATCAACAAAAAAGAACGCTGACAGCATTCTTTAACACAAGGAAGCTAGACGTTGAGTGGTGTTGTTTACAGTGGTGGACGGATGAATAACGTGTAAGAACCTGCTTTTGTTTTCGAGGCCTCTAGTCAGTTACAAACAGAGTTGGTAGTGACATGCTTATAACCTTGGCCGACACTTCTTCCTCGTGACGGGACCATGCCATTTTATCAAGTCATACCGCCAAGTGGAGGTGGCTTCTCCTTGCGACTTATGACCTCGAATGCCACTTTATTTGTGTCTTTATTACGGCTTCACCAAATCATGTCGCCAAGTTATATGTTCTGTTTTGATAGTTTCTGTATTTTTGCTTAATCTTATCATTCTTGATCGTTTCTAAATTGTTTTTTTAGATTATCTTTGCATAACAATACTTATAACATGTAAATCTGAAAGAGCATCTCCAACAGATTCTTTAAAATGAAGATGTAAAAAGTCAAAATCTTTAAATAAAAAAATTACATTCATAGTCAACAAATCCTCTATTTTAAAGATTACACAATTAATTATATTATTAAAATATTTAATAACACTCATAAAATATTAATGATTTAGGTTCGTTTTTTTTCTCATTTTAACGGTTTGTCGGCCTCGATCTTGATCCCATTATCATTCCAAATATAAAGACAATGGTATGCATAAAGTTATTGTAACAATTCTCGTTTTCGGTCATCGATCAATACACGAAGGACTTAAAGTTCCGATGCATGATTTTATCGTCCAGTAAGGCATCAAGACCTCATAAAGATAAATAACGTCAATTAATAGGAGGTTAAAACGAGAATAATAACTAAAATAAGAAAGCAAGAAAAGAGTTAAATCACGTGCAAAATTACATATGATAACGGTCAATATAAAGCTGTGTGGGAGACTTGGCTCGCGATCTCTCAATCACATGTGATTTTACATGTTATTTATAATTTATTGTAAATTCACATGTGATTCAAGTGTTTTTTTATTATCTTATTTAATTACCATTCTCATATGAATTTGAATATAATAATGATTAATTAAAGATGCAAATCTAAACTAACTTGATCATAAAAGCTTGACCTCGATTCATGCATGTATAGAATCGGAGAACAAGAGCCGGCGCCGGAGGAATTCAATAAGCCGCCACCACCGTTAAAGTCCGTTGAGCTTCGCACCGCCGTGGAGGCGAATGGTCTGCCGGCGATGGCACGTGTTTGATGGGAGGTATAAGAGGTTATCTTTTCTTGAAACCTAATACTGGTGCCATTATTTGTAATGCAATTGGTACTCTGATGGTGGTGATGCTGATAGGATGGCGTTGACGTGGTGGTGACATGGTGGTGGTGGTGGTTTACGGCGGAGCTGCCGTGGATCATGACGGAATGGATGTGGGTTCGCTTGGCGTGTAATCGTTCCCTTCTGTGTGCATTTTGATGGCCTCCTAGGGCTTGAGATGTTTGGAAGTCTCTACAGCAATAATGGCACTCAAACTTCCGGCGACTTTCTCCGTTGTCTTTGGTTTCGTGGTGGATGACGGTGGCGGTACTGTCATCGGCCGAACTGAACTCGTCGGTGATAATGGTGGTTGGATCACTGCCACCAAATTCTTTCCCAAAGAGTCGAATGGAATTCTTTTTGGGTGGCAAGTGAGGGATGAAGCGAAGTTGAGAGAAAGATTCTATGTTCATGAAATCATGAGTTTCTGCACCTGATTCTTCCATTGAAATGGCGGTGGTGATGGCGGTGGAGCGACGTCGTGACGGTGGCGATGAAAAATGCTTTGAAGAATGTAGCATATCTAACTTATATATGAAGTGGGGGAGTTGAAAAAAAATTAAGTCGTTGAGGAGTCTATGTTATCCTTTTATTTCATTTTCACTTTACAAGTAGAATGCATACCTCCATTTTTTTTGCATGTTAAATGTAATATTTTGAATGGGACCCCGAAATTTTGGGGCCAAAATTTACCTGTGCTTAGGATGTAAACTGTAGCCGAAATTGTTTAGGTTCAAATTATCAATGATTTAGGTTCAGTTCCAAATTGTTAATCGTTTAGGTTTAGCCTATAACATCTCATGTCAACTGTACCAGATATTGTCCACACACCTAGACTCAAGGTTTTAAAACGCGTCTGATAGAGAAGATATCAAGTCCCTTATAAGGGCAACTTTTTCCCTTCAGCAACCAATGTGAGATCTCACAATTCAACCCTCTTGGGAACCCATCGTTCTCCCTGGCCCACCAGTCTGGCTCTGATACCATCTATAACATCTCAGGTGAACCGTACCAGATGTTGTCCGCTTTGTCCCACGCCTAAACTTACGGTTTTAAAATGCGTCTGATAAAATAAAATATCAAGTCTTTTATAAGGCAGTCTTTGTTTCTCACCCCAACCAATGTGGGATCTTATATACATAGCCTATTTTTGTTCTTAACATATATATTTTCTATTATCTCAGTTATGCAACGTGATCAAAAAATGTGGATATTGCAGGGTCTACAAAAAGATTCAAACGTCTCTGCTCGACTAATTTTAGAGCTTCCGGAGAATAAACAGAAAAATCCTTAATAGTCTTGTAAGATTTGAACTGGAGTTTTGAAGAAGATCTCGAAAGACACAAGACTTTTTCCTTTTGATAGTTGAGCAATAACCTCACAAATTTACTTATGAAATAATTTTATTCAACTTTTTTTGGTTTTCATGTAAAATTTGTTTGTTATGATTTCAGTGATGTTCTATAAAATCAGCGAAGGCGAATTTGGGATTCGGGTTTGTTCCATGACGAAAGACATTTGTGAAAAACATGAGTATTTAAAGGTTGATGAAACCAAATGGCCTTTGGTCTAGCGGTATCGTAGTCATTGGCCTCCTAAGGGGTTCAATAACCAAAAGGGTTTTGACATCAATCATTAACGATCATCATCATAAGAAATGGATATGTACAGACTAAAAATGGAAATTATCTGGATGAGGATGTTACATTGATACTCTTGTCTTTTTCGTTTTCGTTTTCGTTTTCGTTTTCGTGGGACAATATATATATTTATGCAATTGTCTAATTTGAGTAGACAAATCTCCAATGAAGTTTAGCCACAGAGACATGTAAAAACACATCAGAGGTATGATAACTAATGGTAGAATATTATATATGGATAAAAAGATTATATCCAAAAGGCTCAACTTTCTGTATCATGGACATCTTTAAAATCGTGAAGATCTTTGGATCTTAAAGGTATTTCAAACACGTATATGTATATGTATATGTATATGTATATGTATATGTATATGTATATGTATATGTATATGTATATGTATATGTATATGTATATGTATATGTATATGNTGTATATGTATATGTATATGTATATGTATATGTATATGTATATGTATATGTATATGTATATGTATATGTATATGTATATGTATATGTATATGTAGGGGTCTAATCAAATGAGAACTAATTAGGTTCAAAGAAGTGGTAAATATTTGAGAAGTAGAGAAATGATCATAACTCTTCATCTAGTCAAAATTTATGGCTTTAACTGTGAAGTAATTAATAATTCCTAGCATGATATGTAGAAGATAGAGGGTTCGTTTCATAACTTCTATAAATAAACGGCAAAACAAGTACATATGTGAACCCATAAGTGCATATCCACCCCATAATTTCCGCTTGATACGAGACTTGATTCGATGCATCTCATACGTGTTGATCTTTAATTAAGATTGATCCAAAAGTGAAAACTCCTTCTTACCATTCTCACCATAATTTTTATTGTCACCGAAACTCAGCTATAATATCTATTCAACTACCGTGAAAATATTGGATGACCAAACTTCCAAACTTCACAAGGAAAAAATAGTTTGAGATTGGGGAGCTTATCCAATAAGCATGTTCAACTTAATGAACATAACATGATAAATTAATGTATGATTTAGACCAAACATAGTTTAATGTTTTTTTTCTGATAGATTTATATAAAAAAAAATTATCAGTGCTTTTAATTAATAACTGAATTATTATATTTTTGTAATTTATATACTTATTATAAAACAGTTATCATGGTCTATACAACAATATAAATTCTATAATTTTGTATTTTATACTTTATTTTAAAATCTATTTTTTTCTCAAATGTTAATATAAATTATAATTTGTAGCACAAATATTTACGAATATGATAAGAATTGTAAACGCTTTTATATGTCGTACAAAAGTTATACATATTTTTAAATAAACTTTGGGTTATAATTATTTAGTTGTTTATAGTTGTCGTTAAAAAAAACTGATGTTATCAATTTGAACAAAAGTCATGTCTACTTTATTTACCTTTGTCGAATGAAATGTCAAATATTTGACAAAAAACTAAACAATTTATTAATTTACTAAAATGTACTCGTGCAATGTAGCGAGATACATCTTGATTTTAATATTTCATTTCATTGAACTCTATTTGGATCATATCATATATATTATTGAAAATGAAACAATCATGCGTTGATGAGAAACGACCATTCATGTCGATTATCTGCAAATAACCTACTATGACATGTACTGAAACTCTTGAGGGTACGTGACAACCGAAAATCAAACCAAACGGTATCTCATAAATCATACATGTAGAAAACTTGTTTCCTTAAAGATCCCAACTTGGAAAAAGATCTGGAAAGTCATGAAAAGGTTTAGAAGATTTTAAAAAGTTGTCGTAAAGTATCAGAGAACAAGAAGAAAAAATGTCGAAATAGAGTGTGTGTCAAAACAAGGTACAATAAACGCACTAGAACAGTAGAACGTGTGAAAAACATGAACATCAACTAATGAAAATATAAACCCATATATCCGTTAAATATTTATTCACAATGAATGTTGTTGTTTTGATATACACGGGGGCGGCCCCTCCGATCAAGAAAACAATGAATGTTAAAATTGAGGAGGTATTACAATCATAATAATATCCATTTTTACTATCATAATATATACTCGTGATCATGAAATGAACCAGATATTCATATTTGTCCAATAGAAAAAAAAAATCCGTTTAATATTATATATGAAAAATAAGTATGACCATCTTAACAGCTCTTTAGATATCGACACATATTTATGAATATGACTTGTTTTTCTGTTATCATTTACGACAAATGAACAAATCATAAAAAACTAAAATGATACAAAAAAGACGAATAAATTCTCTTACAACAAAGTAAACGTGAGACCACATAGGCACATGAGTGAGTACTGTGTGCGTCGTGGCACTATATTATTGTTGTCATAACTCAAAATAAATCAGCCCGTAAAAAAATACAGAAAAAAGTGTCAGTGAAGTGTTGTTTAGGCATATTACATATTTGCCACCACCACCACCACTACTTCCACCACATTTGCCACAACTACCTCATCCACCATTATCAACCGCTACCACCATCACTATCCACCATATTCACGTCCTTCACAACCACCATCGTCCACTGATCACCAATGTCTCTACCTCGACAACCATTGTTGTTGCAACAATCTTCCACCATGACTTTGTCAATTTATATGGATGTTTCCGAACCAAATAATATGAATCGTATTTTTTCAAACTAACATCAATTAGGTTATTTCTGTCTTGTTATGTCCAGTACAGTCTTACTCTCTTGTCATGTCTTGTCCAATCATGTCTGCATATGACACGCTACCTAAAAGATGTTTTTATTGTTAACCAATATCATCAATGTTAGAAAACCATGTACCTTGTGCATTGCAACCCTCCAATAATTTTATGGTCACCAAGGAAACATTTTATCATGTCGTTTTCAAGTTTATGTAACAGCTACTATACAATATGGTGCATTGTCTCTTTCTTGATATTGTTATATTTTCAACATATAACGAAAATTATTCTTAATATTAAGGTTGTCGATTTTATATCATGATAAACCAACCAAATTTTATGCCAATCGTAGCAATTTAATTGACATCAATTCAGTTGGTACCAATTTAATTGGTTGGTAGTACAGTACCAACTAGCTAAACTTGGTTGATACGTGGTATTAGAAGTCATGTATCATGGTAATATTGTATCGTATCGACTTATTTTTTTTAATAATTTATTTATTAGAGTTTAGTATAATACAATATATTTTGATTTTAATTTTTAAATGTTCTTGTTTTCAGTTTTGCTAAATTATGATATGAATGGATAGATAGAACTTGACTAAATTCATTCGCCTAATCCTAACAACCATAGCAAGGGGTTGTTTGGCATGTGTTGAATGGTTTGATGAAGAATGATTAAGTGGTCAGAATGATTAAGAGTCTCTCATGATATAGTGCAAAATGAAATATATTTGTTTGATAATTGTTTACATTGAAATTAGAGGTGCTTAATGGTTAAGGGAGGCTCATGATACAAAATCACTCAGAGCGTTCTAGAACCATTAAGAGGCACATTAAACAAGATTCACCTCTTAATGGACCTATTAAGAGGTAAACAAACAACCTCTAACTCGTCCACGCCTTCACGGTTTATTGCCGTTTCTTAATAGCCGTTTGTATTAGATTATTGATGAATGGCTGTATTATCTGAAAATTATTTGAATGCTTATATATGTAGTGATAAGTGGTACAACACATATCAGCATGTTATTTAGATACTCCAGGGTTTTAGTGCATCTAAATATAGTTGGTGAAGATGTTAATATAAATAAATTTGTAAATTTAACTTTTAATTGGTA